ATCGCGGATCGAAATCTTTTCGAATTAAATCCACTTGTGATGTTCCAGTGCCAGGATCTAACGGACCATTATAGTAATCACTTGAGGTTGATCTGCGTCTTCGTGATGTTGGATCACGAGAATTTCTGCCATCACCAAGTACAAACATGTTTCCATTAACTCCGCTGGATGCAACAACTGCAGCGATATAAGGTTTCGGATTGGTTGATTTTCTTGCCTCGGCATACGTCACTAACTCACTGTTCTCGTAACTGTCAGATGATCTAGGTTTCTTGCCATCTTTTAATTTCAAAGCCACCACGTAGAAATAACTACAAACTAAGAATTACCTTCAAATATAACAACCGTTAAAAATAGATTCAAATGGCTTCTTAATATCTGAGACTAATTCCGTGCAATGGCATGATGATCGCGACCATCTCAATGTAGGAGATTTAACAAAGTGTCGGCTTATATCTGCAAGTATATTACAACAGCGACCATAATGATACCATGAGAAAGTCGATCAACTTACACAGACGTTTTCGATGGAATTTCCAACGAAAATGTGAGCGTACTTGATGTCACTTCTGTGGCCTTCTTTGCTGCTCCTGGAGGGAAATGTGAAAGTATTAATGAGTAAAATATCTTGCTAGAAGGAGACCCTGGTTTTTCAACGGTATAAAAGTAGGCAAACATCAAGTTCTGAACAGTTTTCTTCACCACAGACAAGATTCAAATATACATGTTGTACTTACTTCCATTCGTAAAAAATCCTTCACTTCCACTGTAAGCACTACTTCCTGCTTTATTACTGGCAAGAACACGAACATAATATTTTGTTGATACGTTCAAATTTCTGACGACCCACTCTCTTTCATTTGTGATATATGTCCTAAAGCAGGAACCATTTTCTGAATGTGAAACACACGCAGTATAACTGATGTCATTTTGTTTATCTTTTCCAGGAGGATCCCAGGTGAAAGACAATGATGATGTACTTCTTTATGAGGTTTTGATGTTTAATGGAGGACCGCTTGGAGCTAAAGAATAAAACCAAGGTTTGTATTTAAATCAATATAATTAATATAAGTCGGCCATTTTGAGTACACAATGAGTCACATTTTTATCACCCTTGGTGTAAAGACACTAGCTTGGAGGAACAAAACGTTTGGTCGTAAAGTTCAATTGTTCGGGGGTTGTGTTGTTTGTTAAACGACAGTAGGGAGCGAAAGTATGGTAGATGAAATGGTTATTTTAAAAAAATGTAGAGGGCTCTGAGTAATTTTCTTAAATGAAATAGAAGAGGAGAAGGTTTCTGCTCTATTTTCTGATTTTAATCAGTGTTCGCAAGACGTTTTAGGTGAATAAGCGAACCGGTGACTAAACAGGCATCAAAATAATAGTAATTGTAATAGTATTTATTTAAAATCAATACATAGGGAGTGATTACTCAATCTCCCGAGCCATAGGCTCATGTTAAAAATGTTCGACTATTTACTCTCTGCATGACTACCTGTACAAATTTAAAACAAAGTAAATGAGAAACTTATTTACATAATTAGGACTAATGGAGAAACTACTGTAGTATAAAATGTTTAAGAATCAGATACATCTCGCACACCTACAGTCGAGATTGAGTTTGTTAGTAAAATCTATTCTTCAAATTGAAGAACGAAACTCGGATAACGAGTTGGAGTTTTTAATATCATTAGGTAGCTCATTCCAAATGTGCGAAATGATATAAGAATATGAATTATGTAAATATAAAGTATTATAACTGGCCTGCTCAAAATTCAGGCCAGTATTTCTAAGATTGTAACGCGAGGACCGTAATTTTAAAAAGTTTGAAATATATTGGGGCCCATGAAGACGTGTACATTTAAAAAACATAATTAAAGACTGTTCAAACCGTCTTTGTTCCAAGGAACGCATTGATGCCATATTCAAAACTGTTTCGTAATCTGAAGTATTACCCATATTAAATAGAGATTTTAGGGCATAATGGTTGGCAGATTCCAATTTCCTATTCAAGCCTTTCCCGATACCAAGAAGGAGAGGACAGCAATAATCCAAATGTGGAAGGATGTAGCAAACAAAGCGAGAAAACATCAGTGTAGGTTCAGACATATTTGCATAAAATAGATCGAAATTTTAGGAAAATACATTCGAATAACTTCATTAGGTTTGCCCCCTTTTCCCAACCCAATGTTGCCATTATTTACCCCACATTTTAAACGTAATTCAACAACATTTTGTTGGGGGAGGGGGTGTTTTAGGAAGATACAGAAATCAAACCACAATTAACTTAAACTCTCAAAGAGGTACGGTTGTAGTTTAGTTCAACTATTTGGAACTCAATTTGGAACAAGCGACTACTCCAGTTGGGTTGCGTTGAAAACAATCAATAAACAAGCGAATAACTTAATGCGATGATGGGTTAAGGTACATCGAGGGTGTATAAAAAATATCGTACAATATATATCCTTTTTATTTACGATTTTGGGGGAGTTAAATAACGATCGTCGTTTTTAGTCCAGTGTCGTACGTACCACAAACACCTTCAAAGATTTCGCTAGTGTCATTACATTGATATTCAAAGTAAAGATATTTTGTCAATCCAGGACATAGATCACCAGAGTACAAGCTGTCATTCACAGTTATACTACACTCATGTTGACCATCACATTGTTTCTTAACAAGACATGTTACATCAACTTCACAACTATAACCATCACTCAAACCACATATGTGTCTTTGTGTCAGACAATCCACGGTACGATGCAGTCTTGACCACCATGTACTGATCTTTAGGATAGTTGGCATTCTCTACCATATTTCCATGACACGTCACTGAACCTGGAACAGAATAAAAAAATAGACGCGAAGAGGTTCGATGTATACAAAATGCAAAAGCACCATTGCTGGACATCATATTCTTATGCAGAAATTCAGCATTATATGAAATATTTGGAACAACTATCGAGTCTTGCTCGTGATTTACTTAATAAGGATCGAAAATCTAATTTTTCGTGGAGTTCAACAAACTGTCTTCGGACCGCTACGTTTTATTTTCTTCTTCGATAAAATATATACAGAGTTTTTATGGACAAAATTAAGAGGCTGTCTCTCTAAGAACCGACCAATGACTCTCGGCTCAAAAAATGAAATTCTTGGTTACTTTCACAATGAAATGTACTTACCCCAAGGACAAACAAACACTATTTGGAATTTGGAATTTTTATTAATTTTTAAAATTTCAGCGATTTTTCGGTCCCGCGTCGTCGCGCAGAAAATCCTCTGCCTATATGAGACATAAAAATTAGTCGAATTCAAATACATATAATTTTAAAAGTATTCAACCAAATTTTATGATTTTTTCACCCACCAACGTGAAAATTATTCTACTTTGAAACTTGTCTTGTTTTATGATGCTTTTATAGAACGATTACGACAAACTTTTGCGATAACAAGCACCGGGTCTAAATACGGCTTTGTACGCTTATCAAATTCGACATTAAATTTCTCAAAAGTGGCACCTAACTGGATTCTGGGACTAATATGGTTTTAAAAAGGGAAGTTTGAAGTACCGATATCCATAATAAAACTTGTTACCAACCGCGATTTGAAGACTCGACAGCCTCTGAAATTTTATACAATTTGGCTATCTTGTTTAGCTTCAATTATAGCGGAGTTGAGACGTCAGAGCTTCCAGAGTTCCAGTCACTTGTAACAATTCCAGGTGAAGTTGGTATAAAGGTCCTCAAATGACATCACAATAGTGGTGGGGTGGGTGTATGGTAGGGGTCAGGATAGAGTTGGGGTGGGGGTCATATATGACTCTTCTATTAAATTTCAGCCAAGCCCTGGTTGAAACACTAATGAAAACCCTTATTCAAACTATAATCCAAATCAAATTCAATTGGCATGCACGATTGCAACTAGATCTTTTTATAATAATCAGTATATATAGTAATCTTCTAGATCAAGTCTTTTTTCCAGTTTAAATTCATTTCCAATCGTGCAGAATAGACATACACTGCTTAAATTAATATATATATGCATTGACAATAATTTCCGGGTTTTCCCCGAGTAGCTAATTTTAATACGAATGCGTACCAGGTTTACCTCGCTGCATCGATCGAAATCTTTTCGAATTAAATCCACTTGTGATGTTCATAAACACAGAAAACCCGCTTAACTACGATGATATTAACGGCTTGTGTAAGAAAACGGAACAACAATGCATTTTACAAGTGACTGGAAGCTCTGACGTCTCAACTCCGCTATAATTGAAGCTAAACAAAATAGCCAAATTGTATCAAATTTCAGAGGCTGTCGAGTCTTCAAATCGCGGTTGGTAACAAGTTTTATTATGGATATCGGTACTTCAAACTTCCCTTTTTAAAACCATATTAGTCCCAGAATCCAGTTAGGTGCCACTTTTGAGAAATTTAATGTCGAATTTGATATGTGTATAAAGCCGTATTTAGACCCGGTGCTTGTTATCGCTAAAGTTTGCCATAATCGTTCTGTAAAAGCGTCATAAAACAAGGCAAGTTTCAAAGTAGAATAATTTTCACGTTGGTGGGCGAAACAATCATAAAATTTGGTTGACTATTTTAAAAATTATATGTATTTGAATTCGGCTAATATTTATGCCTGATATAGGCAAAGGATTTTCTGCCCTACGGCGCGGGAACGAAAAATCGCTGAAATTTTAAAAATTAATAAAATTTCAAAATTCCGGATAGTGTTTGTTTGTTCTTGAGGTAAATACATTTCATTGTGAAAGTAACGAGGAATTCATTTTTTGAACCGAGAGTCATTGGTCGGTTCTTAGGGAGACAGCCTCTTAAACCGTCAGGAGTTCCCGAGGTAATTGAATCATTCTTATATGTATACAGAAGGTATAAACCTTATACTATATACAGCCGTAAGTCTTATTACAAGTTGTTCACATCTAGCCTCTAGGCTAGCTTAGGGCCGTTCATTAATTATAGATGGGGGGGGGGGGGACTAGAGGGCTCCAAAATAAGGGGGCTGAGAAACTTATTCTTCACTTTTATAAATTAAAAAAGTGTATAAAAAAGAAAAACATCAAATACAAAGTTTCCCAATTGGTTTCATATGAACAGTTGTCACAAAAACAAAATTTTAATGGATCATTAGACAATAGTCAAGCTTTATATATTCAATAATGTCAACTCAACTGTCAGTCAGCTTTATATTATTAATCCAACGTTTACACACAGTAGTG